ATAATTTCTTCTTGTTGCTGCATTATTTTCCTAGTTATTTCTGAGTCACCTTCCATTCTCTATAATTAATCTTATATTACAATTTCTTTTGTTGCTTTTAACTTTTTCCCCTGAACCGTCAGCTGCCCACTTGCCAATTCCTGCACGTACAATATTTTAACATTTCCACTATCTACAAGTGATGCTGTTCACCAAATTGTCAATCCGCAATAGTTCAACAATTATTATTTCTAAAATAAACTTCCCTTCCTTCCTTCTGCGTGTATGAAAACCTAATAGTTCACTTTCACTAGATGTTTTCCCTTCTTAACTGCGCAATGAGCCTCTTTTTTCCTTTGCCTTTTGCAAAATAGATAATGCGGGTGCCTGCATTTCTGCAGCTGCAAAATCACAAGTGTCTCTGGGGATAGGATGGGACCCAAAAGTGAATTAATCTGAATTCATTTTTTTGCAGCAATGCCCCCTTGTGGTGACAGCCTGGAATGTCCATTCAGGACGCCCACTAGCTAGCACCCTTTGTTCTTTCCTTGTTGGTATGACCGCAGGATTCTGGGGTATCTGGGGTTCCTGATGGGGTGAGAGTGGATCTGGGGTGTGTGGCAACTCTGTCCCTTGAATTGCTTTGGCTCCCAGGAGACTGGCCAAGGGAAAGGCTCTCTTCTGCCTTGGTCAGACCCCACCTGGAGTCCTGTGTCCAGCTCTGGGCACCACAATTTAAGAAGGATGTTGACAGGACTATGTGCAGAGGAGGGCGAAGGAGATGTTCAGGGGTCTGGAAACCAAGCCTGGTGAGGAATGGTTGAAGCAACTGGGTATGTTTAGCCTGGGAAAGAGGAGATGGAAAGGAGAGAGGAGAGCCATCTTCCAATATCTGAAGGGCTGCCACGTGGAAGATGGAGCAAGCTTGTTTTCTCCTGCTCTGGAGGGTAGGACTTGAACCCATGGCTTCAAGTTACAAGAAAGGAGATTCTGACAGCAAAAACAGGAAAAACTTTCTGACAGTAAGAGCTGTTCAACAGTGGAACACAATCCCTCAGGAGCTTGTGACTCTCCTTCCTTGGAGGTTTTTAAGCCGAGGTTGGATGGCCATCTGTCAAGGATGCTTTAGCTGAGATTCCTGCATTCCAGGGGGTGGACTGGATGACCCTTGGGGTCCCTCCCAACTCTGCAATTCTTTGATTGTCCCCTGGCCCTGCTTGCAAGCTTCCTGCAGCCCTTGGCTCAGTTGGTAGGGGGCTGTAGATGGAAAGCCAGAGTGTGAGATCAAATTCTCCATGGCAGCTAGAATAATAATTGATTCCTGCACTGCGGGGTTGGGGGTTGGGCTAGATGACCCTTGGGGGTCCCTTCTATGATTCACTGACCTTGCTTTCTCCCTTCTCCTTTGCGGCTTTCCAGGCTGGAAGAGGGGCATGGAGGTCCCGCCAGACATTGCCATCGCCTACCTGATGCAAGGCAGCTTCTATGGCCACTCCATCTATGCCACGTTCTACATGGACGCTTGGCGCAGGGACTCGATCGTCATGCTCGTCCACCACGTGGTGGCCCTCATGCTCATCACCTTCTCTTACATGTTCAGGTGCGTCCCCATCCCCACATGCTCCCTCCCTCCTTGTTTCCTGCCTGGCTACACCTCTGCTTGGTGGCAGAGCGCACTCTGTGCATGCACAAAGTCCTGGGTTCCAAACCAGACTAAGGTCCCTCTAGTTCAGCATTGCCTGCACTGACTGGCAGCAGCTCTCCAGGGTTTCAGACTTGGGGGTCGCACCCAGCCCTACCTGGAGATGCCGTTGGAGATTGAACCTTGGGTCCTCTGTGCTCAGGACATGTTTAAGGCCACCAAACTCTGGTCCTTCCCCGCAGGATAAAGTAAGATTCTAGTCCTCAGTGTTTGAAATTACCCAGGCTCCAAGCACATTTTGCACCTGGCTTCTGACCCCTTGCGACAAAGTGAAGATGCCTGGGTGCCAGGATGTGGAGGTGCATGCCTGGAGATCCTTGGATCTGGGCTGTTTTTACGCACTAATACCCCTTTCTGTATAATTCTATCCATTATATTTTATCTGCGCTATCAGAAAGAGGGGACGCAGGGTTAAACCACAGGGCCTAGGACTTGCCGATCAGAAGGTCGCAGTTCAAATCCCCGCAACGGGGTGAGCTCCCGTTGCTCGGTCCCTGCTCCTGCCAACCTAGCAGTTCGAAAGCACGTCAAAGTGCAAGTAGATAAATAGGTACCACTCTGGCGGGAAGGTCCAACCCCTGGTTTGCCAAAAGCGGCTTAGTCATGACCAGGAAGCTGTGCGCTGGCTCCCTCGGCCAGTAAAACGAGATGAGCGCCGCAGCCCCAGAGTCAGTCATGACTGGACCTAATGGTCAGGGGTCCCTTTACCTTTAACAGAAAGAATCTCAGGAACCAAAATGCTTTCTTTGTGCAGCCTGAGCAGCATGAAGAAAAAGAGGTTGGAATGGGCCAATAGTTATGTGGACCATCCCTGGATCAAGTTACTTTTCCTCTTTAAGTTCTCAAAGCTCTTATCTTAGCTCAAGGTTGTCCTCTGAACTAGGCGGATGTTTAACTGAGAATCATTCGCATCATTTGTAAGATAAGACTTTCCCCAATGTCAACTAGACATTCCATTTTGGTGACTGTAACCTTGGTTTAAGGAGCCATTTGGTCCCTGGCTTATACACCTGAGTTTCCCACACTGGTCCTCATCGTCTGAAATAGGAGCATAGGGCTCTGCATTGCACTGGTACAGACTACTTATAGGAATACAAAGCCTAGTAGGGGCTCTGTAGGGTCTTGGGCAGAGAAGGGCCTTTCCCACCAGCTTGTTTTTTTAAAAATTATTGTTGGCACCCATCCATCTCGAGAGACAACGGAGTGCACCTCTGGTGGTGAAGTGAAACAGCTGGAGAATCACAGCGCCTGCTGTGGCTGCAGAGACCCGTCCCTCCTCGTAACTGCTGAGGTGCTGCTCCAAAGTGACTGGGCAGCGTGTCTGGAGGTCCTGGTCTTGGCCTCGTTGACGGGGGGTCTTTAAAGATTTTCAGAGACTTTGAGACTAAAGATTTCATTCTGAACTTGCTATGGTTTGCTACTGGAGATGTAATATTTTATCCGCAAAGCACTGTGGAGATTTTAGGAGGCCACGCACAAGTGACTGAGGATGCTGCCGCACCACATAGTTTATGGCAGGACGTTCAGTGCCCTGGTTGCAGGGCTGGGACTAGATGACCCTTGGTTACCTTTCAACTTGTTTTGGGCAGCACTGTGGCTTTTGCAGACATCTCGGGCAGAAATTCTCCGTGCAGTATATGCACTTAAACTCTACATGCCGTTAATCGAACCCAGGTGTGCGTCAAGGGTTGTGCTGTGGCTCACCTGTGCTTGTATCCTCTCCTCCTGGCAACGTTGCCTTCAGGTACCACAACGTGGGAATCCTCGTCCTCTTCCTTCACGACATCAGCGACGTTCAGCTGGAGTTCACAAAGCTCAATGTCTACTTCAAATATCGGGGCGGGGTCTACCATCGTCTGAACGATTTGATCTCAAATGCCGGTTGCGTCTCCTTCAGCGTAAGCTGGTGAGTTTGGCTGCCCTCAAACTCTGCACATACGCAGCCCATTCCGAGGGAGGGCGGTTCTGCAAACTCCACCCCCTCAAAAAGAAAACCCAGGAGGAAGGCATGTTACAAATTATTGTTTGGTTGCGGCTAAAATATATCGCTGTGGTGCTGCAATCCCAGTATTTTGCTGCTCAGATAGACTGCTCTTGTGCGAAAAGTTTTCCAAAATTGTAAATTGCTTTGAGGTTATTATTATTTTTTACAATCAAACCATATATAGATTTTATTAAGTGAACACACAGCAAGATTCTAGTCCTCCTAGACCCGTTCCCTTGTCCCCGCAGGTTCTGGTTCCGCTTGTACTGGTTCCCTCTCAAAGTGCTCTACGCCACCTGCCACACCAGCCTCCAGACTGTCCCGGACATCCCCTTCTACTTCTTTTTCAATGCTTTGCTCTTTGTCCTGACTCTGATGAACATCTACTGGTTTCTGGTGAGTAGCGAGCCTCACCATCGCCTTGCCCTGCAGGAAGAGTTGGGAGCCTCCAGCTGACAGGCCTCACGAGCCTCAGTTCTGTGGGAAAGGTTTTAGATACCAGGAGAGGATATGTTGTTTAGTTATTACCTTTCTCACGTGAATGAAGTCAGCAGAGGACTGTCCTTTGCAGGATAAACTTGGAAGCTAAGGCAAGGTTGATTTAACCTTCTAGAAACAATAGTCCAGGCTGCTTTGCTCGTCTTCCTAATCTAGCAGCAAATGAAGATTGGCTTTTGAAAATGATGGAGTACGTGCAACTGGCAAAATTAACAGCAAAGCAAAGATTAGAGATCAAAATGATGAAAAATGCCTTGAGAACTGAAATTTTTTGGGAGGGATTTAAAGAACTACTATAGTGAGATGACCAGGACTTGAAATATGAGTGACAGCACAAATTATTAAGATAAATACGTAAAATTATGTGTATTGAATAGTAGAGGCAAAATATGCAGAATTTCAGGGTAAATATGAAAACCATGGACATGGAAGTCAACAGATAAAGTAATTTATGGATTATATTAAAATATGTAAAGATTTCTTTTATGTCAAAAATTAATAAATAAGATTTTTTTTAAAAAAAATCCAGGATGCTTTAAGGCAGACTGGATTTTGCCTGGTATTGCCGTTTTTCTCCCCCTTAGAAATAACACCCACACACATTGCTTTGTGAAAAAGTAAAAGTTGGCTTTACTTACTGTCAGGGGCTCAGGAGCAGAGGCACAGGGGAGAGAGGAAATGGAGAGCGAAGGGGAAGAATCTGAGGGCAGCGGAGGGGAGAATGACAGTGACCCGAGAGATTCCATGAGCCTCTCCAGCGAATCAGAAGATTCCCAGAGGGGGGCGCCGATGGTCAGGGCAAGGGGGGTCCCAGGGGGGACGCACCAGAAGCAAGGGGCCAGCGGGGACTCCCAAAGCAGCAGCGGGAGATCAGGACCAGCTTCCCCACCGGAGCGTAGTGGGGGGGAAGAGTCCCATGGGTCAGAGCCAGCGTCTCCTCCAGCAGGGAGGGAAGAGGAGTCAGGGCTGACCACGCCTCTGTCGGGGAGTGGGGGAACGGAGGGAAAGTCAGACCCAGCTAGCATCCCCGAAGGGGGAAGCAGTGACAGGAGCAGTGTAACGGTCAGGAGGAAGGTGACCGGCTGGGCGCGTGCGCCAAGTTCAAATGTACAGGCGCGCGGGACAGCAGAAAACCCGGATTGGGAACCAGGTCCTAAAGCCCGCCGGAGGCAGGGGGAAGACTCAGGGGACTCAGCGTCAGAAGAGTCTAGGAAGGGCGAGACCCCAGCGGACAGGCGGACCCAGAGGAGGAAAGAGCAGAGGAAGAGGTGGAGCAAGGCTAGAGTCTTAAACTGGTGTCTGGGGGGAGGAGACTCAGACGGAGCTTCGGCGGTCTAGAGTTTGAGACGTAGAGCTGCGCGCCGCGGCTGTGAAAGCTAAAATGAACTTCAATAAAGACTGTTTTATATAACAACGAACTGGCGTTGGTCCTTTGTGAGCTGGGACCTAGGGCAGCTCTGACACCTACATAGTAAATGTGGGGTGCTCTCCCCAGAGGTTCACCTGGAGCCATCATTACATGTCTTTAGGTGCCAGGCAAAAACATTCCTCTTTACCCAGGCCAAGGCTATTCAGTAATCGCTTGCCTGAGGAAGTGTGGGGGAAGAGGACTGTTATCATAATGGCTATTTTATTATGTTTTTATCATGGGAGTGCAGGCCATCTTAGGCCCACGTCACCCGGGCTGGGATGAACCAGGTTCTCAGGAAAGTGGGGGGCTGGGTAATGTAGTGCAAAGCATCGTGGGGAGCGGGGAATGGGGTTCTTAATTTCAGGGTCATGAGTTCGAGCCCCATGTTGGGCAAAAGATTCCTGGATTGCAAGGGGATGGGCTAGATGACCCTTGGGGTTCCCTTCCAACTCTGCATTTCTATGATTGTCCCCTCTCCCTTCCTCTTTGCAGTACATCATCCTCTTCGTAGTGAAGGTCTTGCTGGGGCAAGTTCGGGAAGTGAACGACGTCCGGGAATATGATGTTGACGCAGCCTGCAAGAAGAGAGACCGGGAGTTTCACACCCCCAGCTGCTGGAAGGAAGGGTTAGTGTGCCAGGGAGGGAGGGAGGAAGGAAATCAAATTCGCACCAACATTCACTTCGCCTGGCTTCCCTGCTTCCGTCAGGGGACAGCCACACTCTTCTGGAAACCCTGCGAGTGGAGTGCAAAAGCACCCACCCTCTCCCAGATGTTTAGCTGCCCCCCCTGCAACACCCCCCCAGCATTCAGGGACAGTTTGCACCTGAATGTGGAGTTCTTTTGATACAACTTTCCTCCACAAGAATTGTCTTGTTGGATGAAACCCTTCGCCGTGGGCATCATTCTGCTAGTTTGAAGCCCAGAAGCGGAGCATGTAAACCACTCCGAGGTAGACTGTGTCTGAACGTGGATGTTCCATTCAGCTCTTTGGCATTGAAAGGAGTGGGGTGTTTTCCCCGGGGGAGGCAGGGCCAGGCCAGGGGAGCGTGGCAACCCACTATTAAGGGTTTGACAAATGCACATTTGGTATCTGAATTTTAGTTTTAACTATTCCCAGTTGGGTTTTTGGAGCGTAAGCTTCGCAAAGTGGTTTGTAATTTTAGCACGCTGAGTAAATTGCAGCCACAGGATTATAAAGCTCATTGTTGTCACATGAATTTAAAACACACAAAAGCCTCTGGAAGGTTGCTATATGGAAGCATAGGTGTGTGTCCTTACATTAGTCTTACTCAGAGTAGTCCTATTGAAATGAGTGGGCAGAAAAGGGCCCTTTCCCTCAAGGGGGTGGATTGGCTCCCCTATGAGGCAAGGTTGCAGCGTTTAGGGCTTTTTCGATTTGAGAAAAGGTGAATAAGAGGCAGCTTGATATTAAAAAATGATGCATGGTATAGAGAAAGTTTATAGGCGAGAGGGAGAAAGACCTTTTTTCCTAACGCTACAGCTTGGGAGTATCTAATAAAGCTGAAGGCTGGGAGATTCAGCACCTAGTTAAACTATGGAACTCCTTGCCACAGGAGGCAGTATGACCACCAACCTGGCTGGCTTCAAAGCTCACAGAGGAATGGCCACTAGCCAACAGGGTGATGCTCAGAGGGAGAAATCTTTCTGCATCCCAGGCTCTGGGGTTCCAATCCTGCTTGCCTGTTTCCCACAACAGGCGCCTGGTTGGCTGCAGTGAGAAGAGGATGCTGGACCAGAGGGGCCCCCCGGGGCCTGATCCGGCAGGCTGGTCTTCCCTTCTTTTGACAGGGCTGACTTAGGCCCGTTAATTCCAGGGGGTTCAGCTCTCTTGCTCTCTCTTCCACAGGAAACATTTGAAGAACGGACTCGTGAAAGACAAGCGGTTGTAGACGGCACCCGCTGGATCTCTGCTGGCAAGGACCCCCAGCTTGTTTGGCAGCCCAGAGAAGAGCCCGCCCCCCACCCCTCCGTCTCGATACCTAGAGCTGTGGGGTGGGGAGGGGGAAGTGTCTGCAGGAAACTCACTGGCGGTTGCATTGTTTTTTTAAAAAAATTCTTGCATTTGGCCAGAGTTGGCGCTGGCGGTGAGGACTCCCACGGAGTGGATTGAAAGGGGGCCTTTTTCACAGACCTGGGGTGGATGCAACATGCCCAGCGGAGAGACCCACAAAGGGAGCAGCAAAAGTCCCTCTTCCGCCAACACCCCCTTGTAAAGACCAGCTCTGCCCTGCGCAGCCTTCTTTGGGGTGGCCCCAGAGAGAATGCAACAGCTTTCCCCACCCTCCTCGTTCTCCAGAGCCCTGACGGGTAAAGCGAAGCGAGTGGCCGATCAGATTGAGGGGACAGGGAATAACACTTGTGAATGGATTGACAGGAGGGGTGGTGGTGTTCACCTGGGGACAGCTATCCCACAATGCTCTGCGGCACTTTATTCCTCGCCTTGCAAGCACGCACACCCTGCCTTTTTAAAATATATATTTTACTGGATATCGTCAGCAGAAGGGGGAAAGGGTGTTTGGACCTGTCTCAGGGGGTGTGTACTTTTTTCCTGTTGTGTGCAAAGGAAGTATCCAAAACTACTGTAATTTTCCAAATTAGTTTCTGAAAACAGACGTTTAAAACATTCTGTTTGTAAGGGCAGAGGATGGGTGGGGGGGGAGATGATGGTGAAATCGGCTGCCTGTTTTTATATCTAAAATGTTTGTGATGAAGAAACAGGGCGCCAGGAATGCGGGGAGACAGAGGGGCTGGGGGGGTGTCTGCCTGATGGGGCTGCGTGGAGCCTCTGCCTTCAGAGTCTGTCTGCAAGGACTGTACCACATCACCCCACAAGGAAAAAGGAGTCTCTGTGAGCTAGGTGCTGCACCCAATGAGCAGAGGCAGCTGGGCAGCTTCCTTTCCTGCCAGGGCACGTGGGTGCCATTCAGACAGCCCAAAACTTTTGGCGTCTGTCTTTCTATCCAGATGGATGGAGGTGACTCCCGTTTTGCATTCTCTCTCCTGCGAGGGAATACCTTGAAGCAGCACCAGCATGGACCTCCAATGAAGTTTGGGTATATAGAATGCAATCTCTGGTGGCAGATTTATTATCTTTACCCTATCCAGCCTCCAAGGATCTCACGGCACCACAAGGGTTGCAGGTGAGCAGAGGTTCAAACCTGGTTCTGCCAGTCCCAGCGCCCTAATACAGCGCCAATTGATGTTTGTGGCTCAGCTGGGCGCCCCAGAGCTGGCTTTGGGGCAGCGCCCATCCATGTCATGCAATTAAACTCCCCCCCCCCCAGGGAAAAGCAGAGGAAGGTGGTAAGAATCCTTTGGGGGCGGAAAGCCCGAGTGGCAAATGCAAGGCTGGCAAGGGACGGAATCACAGAGCTGGGACCACAATGGCCATCTAGTCCAACCCTCTGCAATGCAGGAACCTGAGATTAAGAGTCTTCTGCTCTACCAACAGCTGCCCCAGAGTCAGAAACAGTTGCCCATCTCCAGCAAATCTCCAAGAGATCTCCCAGGAAAGGGTTGAGCTTAGAGCAGCTGCCTCACATGTGGAGGGTCCCCGGTTCAGCATCTCCGTGAAAGGACACCCCGGGTCTGGAAGCCTGGAGAGCTGCTGCCAATTTGTGTAGGCATTACTGAACTCCGCTGACCCATTGATGCAACAGAAGGCAGCTTATTGGCTTCCTATTTCAGCCAGCTCTATATTCCATGAGGACCAGAATGACCTTAAACTGAGTGACCACAGCTCAGCGGTAGAGCGTTTGCTTTGCGTTCAGTAGGGCCGGGGGTTCAGTCCCCGGCGTTGCCAGTTTGGGTTGGGAGAGACCCCCCAGGCCTGAAACCTGGGAGAGCTGCACACAGTCTTGATCTCGTTTTATCCAATGGTCTGACGCTGTATAGGGCAACTCCTGGTGCTCCTCATATTCTGCTCACCCTGAGTTAGCAACAGTAGATGTGGACGCAAATAATTGCTTGCTAAGGTGGAAGAAGATGCAGGAGGGAGAGAAATTTGTAATGCAGATGGGGACATTTGTACCTGAAAGCACCCTGGATCCAGAAGTTGCGTTTTCAGGGTGTTCACACACTACATCCCAGAAGTGTACAATCTTTGAACTTCTGTCTGTGGACACGTGGACATTTATCCACATGTATTGTTCAACAGAAATGCAGTCTGGTCGATTTAAACAAACCCACAAGCGTACACACTTCCAACACAAGTCGGGACGCTGGAGTCTGTGTGAACGAGCCCTTCTTTTGATAATTCAACATCTGGGAAGCCACTGCATCCATTTGCCCTCTCAGCCCCCTTCTGCTTGGTGCTGCAGGATGAGGCCATAGTCACAGCAGCCTGCATATGTGTGCCAGCTTTAAAAAATCTGCCTCTCCCTTTGCCCTCCACGGAAGAATTGAAAGCACCAAGAACTGTAGAATTCCCCACTGCGGGGAGGGGGGAGAGTTAGATTCCCTGACTTGCATAAATGATGGGAATTTGAACAAGTTCTCTGATTTTTTGCGCACACCTGGCAGTGTTTCCCAAACTTGGGCCTCCGGCTGTTTTGGGACTACAATTCCCATCATCCCTGACCACTGGTCCTGCTAGCTCGGGATGATGGGAGTTGTAGTCCCAAAAGAGCCAGAGACCCAAGTTTGGGAAACCCTGGTTTGGAGGTTCGTTCCCAGGGAAGAAGTGTGGAGCGTCGAACCCCTCCTATCACTGGGAATCATATTTGGTGCACGGCTCCTGTTTCTGAGGATTCAGGCAGACCACTGCATCCATGAGGGCTAGCACCTTGGTTTCTCTAGTGAAAGCCGATGTTCTCTGCAAGCCAGGTGCCACAAACAATATGCTGCGCTCACACACGCCTGGTGTTCCTGCACTGTAATTTGTTTTGCACACTGTTTAGAGATTTTAAACATTAAGCAAAAGTTTTGGAATACCTGAAATAAATTGTGTCCCGTAGTGGGACTGCGCTGGTGACACAGCTTGTTCCTTGACCAAATCTGTCCTGCCAAGAGAGAGAGGATCCCTTGCCACTTGAGTGTTGCGCATGCCAGGCCACAGCAGCCTGTTGACTTCTGGTGAGTCTTCCCTTGGAAGGAAAATAAGACGGGGATGGATTTGTGAACCTCTAAATGTGGTTACTAAGAGCCCATTGAGCTCAACACCCTGTTCTCATGTGGCCACCCAGGTGCAACAGGGATGGGGAACTGGCGACTCTCCAGATGTTGGGACGAAAGAAGGTGGCACCCTGCCAGATATTTCCCTTAAAAAACCCCAAAGCCTGTATTTTTTTTTATAAAAAATGTTCAGACTTCAGGAACCACACCTGATTCTTCATCTGCAATGGGTATCCTGGAAGAGTGTAATTTGCTTAAAAGGTGTGAGGATGTGTTGTCAAGTTAAATTTGCCCCCATCTCCAGTGAGTGGGCAGAAATCTCCCCTTCTAAGGCTGCAATCCTAAAGGCTGGTTCAACACATTGCAGCTGACTTCTGAGTAAGTGGGGAAAGGTTTCTGGTCGCAACCGAGCATGATGTGAAACAGGGATCACCAGAGAACCCAACAAGGCTTCAAATCCACTGAGCTTTCCGTAAAAGGGACTAGCGTGCTTTGGGATCTGAGATGCTTCCGGGCAAAACAAGGTTGCAGCCAACTGAATCATTCTCAGAGTAGACCCATTGAAATGAATGGGTGTGACTAATGGGCCCCACTAACTTCAATGGGTTGCTCCTGGCGGTAGTCCTATTCAGAGTAGGCTCATTGAAATTAGTGGTCCTAGTGTTAGTGGTTGTGTTCGTTAGCTTCAATGCTGGATAGTGGATGCAGCCCATTGATGTTAATGGGCCCAAATTAGTCGTGCCTATTCCCTTCTATGTGTCTACTCTTGAGTAAGTTAGAGGCAAGCTTTTTTTTGGGGGGAGGGGAGTCAAATCCCATCCAGGTGGATTATGTCTTCACACACACAAGGTTCCTGTTTGGTGCAAGGAGAGTCTTATGACAAAGCTCATTCCAGACATCTAGGCCTGGTCCGGATCCATCCCTTACACCCATGTTCACACTTCCTCCCCTGCCCTTTTATGACTTGTGGCTTTGCTTCAGAAAGGTGTTTGTCTGTGAGAGAGGGATCTGAGGCACTGTGTTTGTTTCTGTGTTAATTTAAATGCCAACTCTCTTGTGGCGGAATCCTCATTAAAAGAAGGAGAAATCGCATTTGTCGTCAGAGCTGTTTATTACCTTTCTAGCTGCTTAAAGTTGAGTGTAGAGTTCTGTATTCCTGAGTTGGGATTTCTGCTGCTGCTGCTTGACATGTTTAAAAGGGGACAAGATGGGGGAGAGACATAGCTGTTTTTTGTGTGGGGGAAATTCCCTTATTCTAGCACTGCTTCCTGCTGCTATCCCGGATTGTTAGATATCCCAGAGACTGTCCCTGGGACAGGTGAGGCTGCTGATCCCTTACTTTCAAGTCTGAAAGTTGAGAGCTATGGGGAGAGAGCTGCATCTTAACTGGAAAGGAGAACCAAGGTTGCAATATAACAGACTGATAACAATTTGATTTGTCACTATTAATTTATTGCATTTATATTCCAGTTTTTTTGCTCAAGGTGACACAGGGGTCTCTCCCCTCCCCACATTCCTTTAATCCCCACACAACCCTCCCACATTCCTTTAGGATCCCGGTCACCCAGTGAGCTTCATGGCGGAGTGGGGGGTTCCCACCCTGGTCTCTCCCAGGCCCCAGCCTGGCACTCTAACCACTACACCACACTGCCTCTCTCCACCTTTCAGTGGGTTTCCAGGATACCTTACAAAACATTAAAGATTATAGGTAAGCACACTGAAACAAAAAACACCCAAAGCCCCCTCCATGACTACAGGGGGGGAGGATTTGGGGGGAATCCCTCCAATGGTTGGGCAGCCATCAGTCATGGGGTTGGACTAGATGACCCTCAGGTTCCTTCCAACTCTACAATTCTATGATCCTGTGCAATCACCTGGGGTCTCTCAACCTAGCCCACCTTGCAGGGGTGTTGTGAATCTTTAAAAACAACTGCATCCATATATGGAGGATAAATTGGGTAGAATAAAAGCAGCAAAACTCTTTCGCGCACCCAGGACTGAACTCACCTGGTTTGCCCTGGGCGGGGAAGGGTTAACCAGATGCGCCCATCACCCGGACCCAGAAGCCTCCTCGGCCCCTGGCCAGCTGCCCAAAGATCAAAGGGCCCCCATTAGCCAATCAGCCCCCATCAGCTGCCTCTTCCTCCGCTCCCCACCCACCCCCAAAGCAAGGATTCGGATCACCTTTCTTGCCCCAGTTTCCCCATCGCCAGCCAAGGGTGCTCTGCAAAGCCAGGCGTCTCCAAAAAAGAGACTAGAATAGGATGGCGCATTCGCACTCTTTCCAACTGATTCTGGGAGCAGCTGGGATGCTCTGGGTCTTGCTGGTGGGAGGGATGCATTTGCAAAGGCAGGAAAGTTTGGTGTTGAAATCTCTGGGGCTCACGACCAGGCCCAGCCCCAGATCTCCCCCTCCCGTGCCCCATCTGCTCTGGAAGATGTTCCACAAGAGAGCCGGCCGGCCTCCAGCCTCCGAGGAAGGGAGGGCGCCTTGCTGGGTGGAAGAATTCAGGGTTCCCGGCAATATCATCCGAGTCTTCCCAGACCAAGGTACGTTGTTGCAAAGGTTTTGGGAGCTCTGTTTGATTGATGGGTTTTCTGGTTTGAGATGGCCATGATTTTCTCCCTGAGGTTAGAAGAGGTGCAATCCTGCACAGGTCTACTCAGAAGCAAGTCCCACTGAGGTCATTTTATAGCTTGCTTTTCTTCACCCAATAAAACCAGAAATGGATTCTGCATCCCCTTAAATTCTCCTAAAATTAATAAAATCAGGCCAGTTTGGGGAATAAAAGCAATGTCAGTCCTACTCAGAGTAGACACGTTGAAATTATTGGGCATGGCTAACCGAGGCTCATTGGGTCTATTCTGAGTAGAACTTAGTTCACCAGAGAGCATAGTCCCAAGTCTAAAACAAAAACAAACTTTGTTTTGATTGATTTAGGGTTGTTGCTTTTTAAATAACTCCTCATCAGGCCAGAGGTGTTGAAAGTAGTCTGCAATTATTATAAAAGCTGCGCTTTGTCTCAGGCTTGACTCAAGGGGTTGGACTAGATGATCCTCAGGATCCCTTCCTGCCCTACAGTTCTAGGATTCTATGAAATCACAATAAGAACATCGCAGCTGATCATTCCTCTGTGATATATCCACAGTTATTCCCTGTCCTTATTTCCCCTCCGGGGATTTTTAAAAAAAGCATTTTTACTGCATTCTGTACATCACCTTCAGACCCCTGTGTGGAAAGTGATTAACAAAGAAATATAAATAAATTAGCGTGAGTGTGGATTGGGCAATATTATAAATAAAGACTCATAAGAAAACAATAGCCAGCTGTTCACTATATGTTCAGTTTCATAAGCACAACCTTAAAATAAAGAGAGATTACTCCCCCCCCCCCCCGCGTTACAAACTCCTTTGATCATTGTCATTGTCCTTCATCTCTCGCAACCCCACAGGTAATGGCATCAAATTTTTAGCCCAGGATTCTTGAGATGGTTGTATTAACACTTGTAATGGGCTGGAAGTTTGATGTCCTGATTTGTGAGCTAAATCGGGATAAAGGATGATCACTGCATTATAAGTGTTCATAGCATCGTGGAGATGGAAGGGACCCCAAAGGTCATGTAGCTCAACTCCCTGCAATGCAGGAATCTCAACTAAAGAGTCCATGACAGATGACCATCAAAACGGATGGCCTCTTCCATGTGACAGCCCTTGAGATATTGGAAGATGGCTATCTCCTGTTCGCCAGGCTAAACCTCCCCAACTCCCTCAACCATTCCTCATCAGGCTTGGTTTCCAGACCCTGGATCATCTTGGTTGCCCTCCTCTGCACATATTCCATCTTGTCAATATCATTCGTAAATTGTGGTGCCCAGAACTGGACACAGGATTCCAGGTGTGGTCTGACCAAGGCAGAACAGAGCAGTACTTTTACTTCCCTTTACCAGGACATTAGACTGCTGTTGATGCAGCCTTGAATAGCATTATTTTTGTTGCTGCTGCTGCTGCTGCATCACCCAGTGGACTCATGTTCAGCTTGTGGTCCACCTAGACCCAGAGATCCTTTCCCCATGTCCTGCTAGTAAGCTGGGTTTCCCCCATCTTATATTTGTGCAGCTGGGTCTTCCTGCCTAAGTGCAGAACCTGACACTTGTCCCTTTTGAAATTCATTTTGCTAGTTTGGGCCCAGTTGTCCAATCTGTTAAGGTCATCCTGAACCCCAAATCTTCTTGCCCAATAACCCTAATATGAAGAGTCTCATGATCCACCCACTGAGTTATGATCTGCAGACTATCAAGGACTGTATTTAATATCCAGTTTATCACTGATTAATTTTTCTCCACTATTCCACCTTCCAATTTTCTCCTTTATTTTACACACACACAATACCTGCCAACTTAGATTTCACCTCATGCCTAATATGAAAGTGTGCTAGAGTCCATGAAAAGCTTATTCCCTTACAAATCTGATAGCCTTCAAAGTGATCTTTGCGTATTTTGGTGCGTATTTTGCGTATGAGGCTAGTTGGAATCCTACACAAACTTAACTTGGAAGTCCAGCTGAACTCAGCGGAGCTTACTTATGAGTAGACATACAAAGGATTAAATACCCCTGGGCCCAGTTGAGCTTACTTCCAAGTAAATTTTCTTATGGGATAGTGGCCTGGGGGTTGCCACAAGTTCTACTCAGAGTAGAGCAATAGACATGCTAATAGGCTCAATTAAATTCTACTCAGAGCAAATCTATGCAGCTCAGCGAGCTTAGGTTAATCATGCCCATTAATTTCAATTATCAGTGCAACTCATATTGGATTTAACCCTTTGTTTCCTCTTAACCATTCCCCCTTCCTAATTTGTTACTTTATTGACTGCCTAATCAATTAATCTCTGTCTTTTAAATAGCTTAACTTGTTGATAAACTAATATTTTCTTGTGTGTTTATTTACTGTTCTCTGTGTGTGTTTATGTGCTTATTCATAAAATGCAAGCCTGATTTAAACACATACATTTATAGTATATATATATATAAGAAGTCAGGCATGATAAACTGCAAAGCTGAAATGGTTCCCCCCCCCCTCTTACTGAAGGAAAACTGCTCCAACTTTGCAGGTCGTTTGTATGCAAAAATAAAAAGGGCTTTGCTGGTGGCTGGGAAATCCTTCTTCCCCGCCAGCATTTGACCATCTTTAGCAGAAGCTTCTCTGTGACCAGATGCTCTTCTCACCTCCTTTCCTCCATCCACTGCGGAAACCAGAGCCTTGGCCTCTTCCTCCATTTCTATACCTTGGTGAGACTTCTCACAGCCGGGCGCTAATGGGCCTTCGCAATGCCTGTGAACTCAACTGTTCTTAAAGATAGCTTTGGATGCTTGGCTCTGCTCACTTGGGTGCCACAGATGTTTCTTGGTGTGAACAGGCACATCAGAACATCTGAAGAGCCTGCAGGATCAGGCCAATGGACCATCTAGCCCAGAGGTCGGCTATCCAAGGTGGGAGGGAGGCAGCCATGTGTCTGAACACCAATATATACAGTGAAATGGGTTTTGAAACTCTTAGTATCAAACCCACTTGGGCTTAGAAACCCACTTGGGCGGTATTTATTTATTTTTATTTAATGCCTTATATATCCCTGCCTTCCCCCCCCCTCCTCATTTAATCCCCCACAACCACCCAGGGAGGTGGGTTAGGCTAGGAGAGACCGGTGGCCTTCAAGGCCACACTCAGGAAGCTTTAAGGCCAAAGGGGAATTTGAACCTTGCTGTCTCTGAGGTCCTAGTCTGATGCTCTAACCACGACACCACAGTGGCTCTCAGAGCGCCATGCAATAGGGCTGTGTCAGGGACTGGCTGGACACAGAGGAATGGTGGGAGGAACCGGCTGGGGGACCCTCAAGGGGAAAAGGTTCAGAGCCCAGGGAGGGGTGGTTATATGTCTGGGAAAACCCAGATATGTCCTCTTTTGGGGGGGTCAACATGTCCCCCCGGGCTAATTTTTACATTTCAAGGGAAATGTCTGGTTAATAATAATAATAATAATAATAATAATAATTTATTATTTGTACCCCGCCCATCTGGCTGGGTTTCCCCAGCCACTCTGGGTGGCTTCCAACAAAGATGAAAGATACACTAAAATGTCACATATTAAAAACTTCCCTGAACAGGGCTGCCTTCAGATGTCTTCTGAATGTCAGGTACATGTTTATCGCTTTGACATCTGATGGGAGGGCGTTCCACAGGGCGGGCGCCACTACCGAGAAGGCCCTCTGTCTGGTTCCCTGTAACTTCTCGCAATGAGGGAACCGCCAGAAGGCCCTCGGCGCTGGACCTCAGTGTCCGGGCAGAACGATGGGGATGGAGACGCTCCTTCAGGTATACTGGACTGAGGCCGTTTAGGGCTTTAAAGGTCAGCACCAACACTTTGAATTGTGCTCGGAAACGTACTGGGAGCCAATGTAGGTCTTTCAAGACCGGTTTAGGGTTTTTTAGTTATTTTCAGAAGGGGTTTGGGGGGTGCACACACATGTTTGGGAGGGCGCTGTGACCCAAAAGCAGAAGCGCCATGGCGGAGTGAGGCTGTTGCAGCAAAGATCATGTAGGAGCTGGGGTCCTGCCTCTGCTTGGGCTGCTGTGCAGGTGGCAGCCGCTGCCAGCCCAAGCTGGGGAAAGAGGTACGTGGGCACAGTGGCTGCAGCCCCTGCACCAGCTCAGGCTGACCTCTTTTGTGTTCTTCAAGACATAGCAACCCTAGTGGTGGTGGGACAATGTTGAGCTGACAGAGGGAGAAGACTGGGAACAGATGTTGTCGGAAGAGGACAGGGCTTAGTGGGCTGGGAGAGTCTGTGGCAGAGAGCAGTCCAGACTCAGAGGCAGAAGCTGAAGCAGGAGAGGAGGGAGGCCAGGAGGCAGAGAGGGGAAGGGCCACAGGGGTCTCCCCCTCCTGCTGCGACCATCTCCCCTCCCTGCTGGTCTCCCAGAACCAGGAGAGGCATGAAAAGGGTGGAGGAGAGGTTGGCTGCGCGCAGGCCCAGTCTCAGATTGTTTGAGGAAAACCCTGGAGACAGCTGTGGGGAGGAGGGACCTTTCGGTCTCAACAACTGATTTTCATGGAGTACAACCACCAGGAATGGGTTGCTGTGCTCATTAGGCCTAATACTCCTGTGGAGATCCTGTTTTTGCTAATAAGGAGTGCACCGTGTGATTTACTGCTGGCTCACTCTTGCCAGGCTGGTCCTTGCCTCAGCGTTGTTCCTCCTCTCCTAGGCCAATTCATCCACAGCGACAAGCCACGGAGTTGGCTGTGCCTCCAGAAGCGGCTGTACTTCAATTTCTCCACCCTGGACAAAGGGGAGCAGGTGACGATGGCGCAGCTGCAGATCCGTTTCCGCCACAACCAGTACCAGGTCGCCAGTCCGGGCCACCCTTTGGAGCTGAGCTTGTACCAGGCCTCCCAGGCAGCTCTGCGAGGGATGTCCTCGCACGCCTACAGCCGGAAGCTCTTGGTGGAGCAAAGCTTCATCCATCTCCACAAGTCCTTCGTCTTCAACCTGACCGAGGCAGCAAAGGTGTGGCAAACCCCTGCCCGGAACCTGGGCTTGGTGCTTGAAATCGCCGGGGGGAAGCTGTGCTCTGGTGCAGATTCCTTCCTCGACACCTCCCTCCTTGTGGTCTCCCTGGCGCACGGACAGTGTGGGAGAACCCGGAAGCGGCGGAGCACCTACTACGTCCCGACGGCCGCCAGCAATGTCTGCAAGCCGCGACGGCTGTACATCAGCTTCCGCGACGTTGGCTGGGAAGACTGGATCATCGCCCCCCAGGGTTACCTGGCGAACTACTGCCTGGGCGAGTGCCCCTTCCCACTGGCCGAGGATCTCAACAGCACCAACCACGCCATTCTGCAGACAGTGGTGCACTCCCTCGACCCCGAAGGGACCCCCCAGCCCTGCTGCGTCCCTGTCCGCCTCTCGCCCATCTCCATCTTGTATTACGACAACGACGACAACGTTGTGCTGAGGCACTATGAGGACATGGTGGTGGACGAGTGCGGGTGCCGGTAAAGGGGGTGGGGTGTTCCCTGGCGTGGCTTTGTTGCGGTGGGGCACTCGCGCAGAGTGGCATTGGCCAGCCTCTCCCTGCTGGAGCTCTGCATCGAGAACCAGATTATCCTGCATTCATGGCCCCTTGGGCTTTAGGAAACAGCGCTCGCTTAAACAGAGTTGTATTTTATTTTCTGCACCAAAGCAAAGACTGCACATGGGTTTTTAACACTACCTAATCGCTTCCAGATTGTTTTCCTAGGGTGGAACTATTGTAAAAGTTTTAATTCTAATAGTGAACGACATGAAGAAATCTGAAGTTGTTGGGTATTTTTAAAAAGAAATGTATTAATAGCTTCATGGGGGTTGGGGGGGGTCTTCATTTTTTGCCGGTGTGGTTTTGGTGAAGGCTTTTTAAAAGGTAATTGCAATTTGTCATTAAAGCAGAACAAAAGGTGATGATTGGGGTCCCTTTAATCAATGGGGGTTAAGAGCTGCAAATGGAGAGTGATATACAACAACAACAACAACAAAGGCTGCATGCCTATGTGATTTTGGTCAGTTTCCACCTGGAGAACAAACGCTAGCTTGCTGGCTGAAGGTTACTGAAGTAGCAGGTGGGGAGAGAGCTATCTTAATGGGGGAACCACCTTCTAGGTTAGGGGTGGGGGACTTGTGGCCGGGACTGCAATTCCCATCACTGCTGGCATTTGGCCACCTTCTCACAGAATCATAAAACTGTAGTGTTGGGAAGGACCCCAAGGGTCATCTAGTCCAACCCACTGAAAATGCAGGAATCTTTTGCCCAACATGGGGCTTGAACCCACAACCCTGAGATTGTGAGTCTTATGCTCTGATTGAGCCATTCCAGTGTCATCATACCCATATATGATATAGGGGAGGGCAATAGAGGAGGTCTCCCAACAACTCTCAGTATTCTTAAGCAAACTACAGTTCCCAGAATTATTTGGGGAAATCCGATAGTTTATAGTAAAGGTGAAGGGACCCCTGACCATTAGGTCCAGTCATGGACAACTGGGGCTGTGGCGCTCATCTCACTTTACTGGCCGAGGGAGCCAGCGTTCAGCTTCCGGGTCATGTGGCCAGCAGGACTAAGCCGCTTCTGGCGAACCAGAGCAGCGCATGGAAACGCTGTTTACCTTCCCGCCGGAGTGGTACCTATTTATCTACTTGCACTTTGATGTGCTTTCAAACTGCTAGGTTGGCAGGAGCAGGGACTGAGCAACGGGAGCTCACCCCATCGCGGGGATTCAAACCACCGAACTTCTGATCGGCAAGTCGTAGGCTCTGTGGCTTAACCCACAGCGCCACCCACGTCCATGATAGTTTGTAGAGCACTTTAAATGTATGTCAAATGTGGTTGACGGGAGCTGGTGCCCCAATATCTGGAATGTCACAGGAAACCCCAGCACATCTGAAGGCTATTTTGGTAACGTATCACATTGCAGAGTTGAACTAGATGACGCTTGGGCAGTGTTAGACACTCATATATATAAGCCAGGTGCCAAATGGTTCCTTAAACCAAGGTTAGTCACCAAAATGAAACATCCAGTTGCTGTTTGGGGGCAAGACAGTTCTAAAGCCTTATTTTTCAAAGGATGGACTGACTGATGAATTCTCAGTTATCCAAGGATCCCCAGGCAGGCACCTCCAGGTGGGGGAGACGTCAGGCACCCTCCTGGCACCTGGGCATCTTCACTTGGTCGCAGTGGCCAAAATGTGCCTGGCACCTGGTTAATTTCAAACACTGCCTTGGGGTCCTTTCCAACTACAATTCTATGTAATTAATTTATTAATCATTTGTTACATTTATCCACTGCCTTTTCCTCAAAGGAGCTCAAGGTGGCACACATGGTTCTGCCTGCTTCATTTAATCCCCACATCCTTGAGGGTAGCTTAGGCTGAGAGAGGGCGACTGGCTCCCAAGGTCACCCAATGAGATTTTATGGCAGAGAGAGGATTCAAACCCTGCTCTAGGTCCGATGCAAACACTCTAACCACTACACAACACTGGTTAATTAGGCTTGCCTAGTTTTGCATGGGAACCATCGGGATTTTAGGGATTGGAGGGCATCCTATTTTGGATACAATAATCTGTATTTTTTAATACAAGGTGAGTCCTTTAAGAGAGGCCCCATGGATACAGAGTACACATGTTCCACAGGGACTCTTTTAAAAGACTCACCCTGTATTATCATACAGGGGACGCGGGTGGCGCTGTGGGTAAAACCTCAGTGCCTAGGACTTGCCAATCGTATGGTCGGCGGTTCGAATCCCCGCGGCGGGTTGAGCTCCCGTCTTTCGGTCCCAGCTCCTGCCCACCTAGCAGTTCGAAAGCACCCCTAAGTGCAAGTAGATAAATAGGTACTGCTTTATAGCAGAAAGGTAAACGGCGTTTCTGTGTGCTGCGCTGGTGCAGGCTCGCCAGATGCAGCTTGTCATGCTCGCCACGTGACCCGGAAGTGTCTGCAGACAGTGCTGGCTCCCGGCCTCTTAAGTGAGATGAGCGCACAACCCTAGTGTCGGACAAGACTGGCCCGTACGGGCAGGGGTACCTTTACCTTACACCCTGCAGCCTTCCTCTGCAGGAGCTGAAGGTGCCATGTACTTTCATGGGTGGAGTAACTGCTTGGCAGCAGCATCAGGTAGACTTCCTGTCCAGAAATCCCTGATGAGATTGCCAGTCTGTGTAGACTGTACCGAGGTAGACTGGACAATGGATGGCGGTAAACAGCTTGATGTTGAATTCTGACAAGACAGAAGTACTGATTCTGGTGGACAGGGGAAGGTGGGTATGGGTCCTTCGTGGGCTCACTGTGCCCCAGAAGAACCAGGTGTGCAGCCTGGGAGTCATTTTGGACTCTCAGCTATCCACGGAGGAACAGGTTAATTCTACCTCCAGGGTGGTGGCTGTTTACCAGCTTCATCTGTTTTGCATCAATGGAAAGTTCAAAAGGTTTTCCCTTTTTTAAAAGCAAGACAACTTTATGAAGAAGTTGTCAACACTCTTTATAGATGCTCAGCTGTGAGCAAACTTATACCAAGTTTTGCCAAGGACATCTGATCTGCCACCAGCTGAGATAGGCCTTTTGTGGCATGCAGGAGGGATCTTACGTGCCAATGTCCACTTCTAGAGAATCTTAGCTGTCATTAAAACAAAGGGAAAAGTTCCCTAGGAAGGTAAAAAAGGCCTACAACATGCCAGAGGGGGACTGTACCATCAATGATGCACAAATCATGCAGAAGATTCTACAACCTTTTCCCCCTAGCGTGCAGGGAAGCATCTAAGTACAGTGGTACCCCGGGTTAAGTACTTAATTTGTTCCGGAGGTCCGTTCTGAACCTGAAACTGTTCTTAACCTGAAGCACCACTTTAGCTAATGCGGCCTCCCGCTGCCGCCGTGCCACCGGAGCACGATTTCTGTTCTCATCCTGAAGCAAAGTTCTTAACCCGAGGTACTATTTCTGGGTTATCAGAGTCTGTAACCCGAAGCATATGTAACCCGAGGTACCACTGTATGTGACCCAAGGAAGCGTAATCGTTCCTGGACTCCAATTTACCCAAAGCCAGAATATAAACTCTGCAAATATGTAGAACAGCACCCATGTGTCACCCACCCCCAGCACGCCAAGGGATCATAGAGTGAAAATCCAGGTTGGGCAATAAACACAAGTGCAATTCTGTCACATGTGCATTATTTGTCTCTGAGTGTTCATTTGGAAGAAGATTACAAAGTTAAGTCTGTAAGGAAGGGTGGCTAAACTGTGGCCAGACTCCAACATCTAGCATCCTATGGGAGTTCAGCTGAATGGCCACAGATTAGGCAGCACTGCCCTGGAAAACCCCCAATAAGATTGGGGTTCAACCTGGATCAGAAAACGTTCAGGCTTCTAAAACTAAAAAGTGCATATGGGAAAAAACTGTACATCATATTACAAAATGTAAGAAAGTCCCCAGAGGCTGAATGCAAGAGGCTCTTTATTAATTTGATGACAAACAGATTTTAAAGCAAACTTGAGATGGAAAAAAAATAATTAAAAAAAATAAACACTGTGCTAGCACTGATGTTTTCTTCTTTTTTCTTTAAATGGATTTATATAAAAACTCAAAAGGATTTCATTTTAACTGCTACAAAGGGGAGGGGGAAAGTAACCCAGCACAAAGCAGAAGCAAGCAGGTGCTAACTAGCAAAATGTGAGGAGGGGAGGGAGGAATCGGGCAGCCACAGAAGGATTTGCGGGGGGGGGGGGAAGGAATATCTTTACTCAGCAGATCGCCTTGCACAAAAAAGAGACAACAGCACTTAAAAGTCTAGCTTTGAAAACCTACGCAGCCAACATAGCCTACCCAGTGGGGTGGGAACTGGAGTACCAGGCCCTCTGAGCCTCCCTGCTTGCCCCCCACCTCCCTACAGGTTGTCAGGTCTAATGGATACCAAGGAGGCCAAGCACACTTCTTGCAGAAGGATGGGGTAGGGCTGCTCTTTTTCTTTGGTGGGGTGGGGGGGGAGAAGAAGAGGAACGAGATTCCAAAATCTCTATTCTTTTTTTTTAAAGAAAAAAGAAAAAAAGCGCAGGGAGTTCTCTTAAGTACATTCATGTTAGGTTAACCTCGAGTTCCTCAGTACACACAAAAGCTAAACAGATGCTAAGAGCCCTTTGACTGGGGAAAATTAATTCACAAGCAGTTTAAAAGAAGGGGGGGGATCACATCTAGAAGGCAGATCAAACTGTTTCAGAGAGGTAAAGGGCATTGCGACATTTATGGATCACCGGGCTGGTGAGGGCAGGAGGTTAAACAGGAAATCCTACTTCAGCTTTTTTCCTAGAAAGCTTTTGATGCAGATAAAATAATGCTTTTTGCTACAAGTGCAGCAAGCCGACATTTTCCCTCCCCCCAAGGGGGTGCCCTTTCCCAGTCGGATTCATAGCAGTTGTAGTTTGAAGGACCCCACAAGCGAAGGCTTGTGACCCCCCCACCAGACGTCGCCTCAAGATTGGTTTAAATGCCTGGCGTTGAACTCACTCCACCGCCGCACCGCTGCACAAAACCCCCAACGACAAACCCCCCACCCCGATATATGCTCCAAGAATGAGACCCACTTCTCCGCAGCCACCTCCCGCTCTCAGCCTGCCCGCCCCACCCAACCTGCCTCGAAAGTATCTTTGTTAAGAGTCTTTACTTCAAAACCAATATAATCCCCAGTTTCCACTACTGTTTTTGGGTGGGAGGCGAGAAAAAGCAGTGTCCTTTTTTGTTTCCCCCCTCTTGGGGGTGGGCGGGGGTGGGCCAAAGGGCACAGGCACCCACTCCCTGTTCTCGTGAAGCGCATGGAAAGTCTTACAGAAAAGAAAAACAACAACCACCGCTTGTTGTCATCACACAGAGCAGAGCCCAGGCAGAAGCCAATTGAAAGCAAGACAAAAACACACACACT